GCACCCCCGTCATCCGTGGACACAAAGCCTAAAAAGCGATGCCAGTCGGTGCTACTAAGCCGAAACATCTCACGCCGGTGGGCCGTCGTACCAGGCTGCTCGGTGATACCACGACCGTAGATCATGCCGGCAACGTGCGATGAATGGGCCGCCTAGAGGTCAGCAATATGACCCATCCATTGCTCAGCATTCATGCCCTCTTCGTCATCCTCTTGTGAAGCCTCGGCTCGCACGTCCTACTGCGTATTATTGGGAAATACGCTAGACGGCCGCATAAAGCGACGGCTAATGCCAATAGCAATATCCCGGTAAGCATTCAAATTAATGGCTTGACCATTAAGCCCAATGGTGGTTTCCCGCTTTAGCACTTCACGGAGTCTCTCAGATGACCAATCTCGGCCAGTGCCAGGATCGGGACCCCAGAGGTAAGCTTGACGTATTTTACTAAGTCCAAAATTAGTAAAAACTCAAAAGTGATTCAAAAGTAATTGAAGACATTGAGAAATTAGCAAATTGGCAAATTGGGAAATTGAAAAATTGAAAAAACTCACCTTTTGATCTCCTCCACGCCATCAGATCTCCGCACCTTCGCTACGTACGCCTCCAATCGCCGTGTAAATGGCAATACTAGCCATAAATAATGGACCACAAGCTCTCCTACCTCCCGGGGTAAATAGCGATGAATCACCTTAGTATCATTGGATGCGTAAAACCCCTTGTGGTATTGTGAGACGAATGCAACGAGCCCGTCCTCAACGAATACGTTGCGACGGCCCCCGCTATCGGTATTGCAATGCCGAATGCTTAATAGCTCGGGTGCGCGAGCCGGCTGGCACCACTCACGTGAATAGCAATGGCAAGCTTCTCACGGAAATACGCTACCCGTTGGAGGTATACGTTAATTGCTGCCATACGTAGACGACCGGCACTACTCTCGATGAATCGCTGCCGTACGGGGCTGCCGTGCTGCCGGAACCGGCCGATCAGCCATTGCTCTCCCTCGACGGGCCATGGCGTACGGGTGTCTTTCAAAAAATTCCACCCGTGGGCTGTCTCCGTGGGATCGTCGTAAATTGCCTGCCATGGAATAGTTGGAACTGACCCATTTTCGCTAAATAGTAGCTCATTGTGGAGAATCTGACGTGCCGAGCTAATGAGCCCGTGGATAAACCCACGGAAGTCACCCATTGTGAAATTGAATTGCTGGTAAAGTAGCTGGTCCTAGTTCATCCAGCCGACGTGACCCGTAGTGGTGCTATTATAATAGATCTTTAACCCATACGTCCGTAGATCTAATAACCATTGAATTGGGCTATTTGTTCCACGGACCATGAATTGGCTGACCATCTCAGCTACCCACTCTCGAAATGATCGACGGGTCTGCCGTTGAGCCTGGGTGAATTCAATAAATTAAGATGACTGGCTAGCCGTGGGTGGCTGAACTAGGCCAGTTTCAAAATTGTAAAATGGATCCTCTGATGTCTGAAATTCAGGTGAATCTAGCGGACTCTCGGTATCCCAATCACCTGCCATTTGATGCTCCGCTAGCTGATATAGCATTGCCTCCGCCGTAGGATCCAATTTCAAAGCCTTATGGACTACCATAAAGCGTGCGATCTTGATCAGCTTCGATAAAATAGGTGGATAGCTCTCAGCCGTACGCCAGCCTGACTCTCCACGGCCGAGCACTGCCGTAGCACAAATTAGCGCGCTCTCATAGTCCTCGACCTTAATGCGATGGTTCAATAGCTCAATACAAAAATTGAGACACGCTAAGTCAATGGGTGCGAGGTAAAACGGGGATTCGGTGCTATTTTGCTGATTCGCTAGTGATTCGCTAGCAATTCGCTGCGTGGGCTGATTCTCGGTGCCACTCTCTAAATACTCACTCTCTGAATGCTCACTCTCTGAATGCTCGCTATTATCGTCTGAACTAGCTGAACTAGCTGTGGCTGAACTAGCCGTGGCTGACCTAGGTGATGCGCCCGGCTGGGCCAGTTTCCAAAGCGAGTTCCACGCAGCGCGCTGGCGCCTAGTAAATTTGTAATTTGGACTAGCCCATTCATGCGTAGCCTGCGTACGAGTGAAAAACATCAAAATTTGCTGCCATGGGATGGTGTGTCTCTCAATGTTATCGGCATCCATATAAGCTTGTAGCGGCTGGTGCGGTAGTCGGTCGCGCTCCGTACGTACGGCTTCGGTGCGAATTGTATGGCTAGTTTTTGTACAAATCAACTGGCTAATTCTCGCGACAGCAGCCATTGCATCCCATATAGCACTTGCCGCCATTTCAGTCGGATCGGATGAATCGCCGTCGGGTGCGTGGACGCAGTCAATAAGGTGCTGCGGGTCGATTCCACGGAGGTAGACAGCCCACTGCGTACGACGTAGCCATAGATTCGCATCATCGCGCTCGCTAGCTTCTATAACGTGAGGTAATTCACTTTCCTCCGTAAAAGCTAGTTCAATTTCATCAATAAGCCGGTCGCCGACCTCGGTCGCGGGCATTGAATCGGCCTCAGCAATAGCCTCCGCCCCGAGCGTACGCACGCGAATATAATAAGATCCTGGCCCTTGGATAAATACGCGCTAGCATCTTACGATGCGCGTAAATTGCTGAATTTGCTGCTCAGCCTCCGATAACCCTTGTTGCCGCCGACGGCCGCCATAGTTAACGGGTGCGACCTAGGCATGGCATTTACGCCAATGGTAGCGTAAGGTCCCAATAGAACGGGCGATAAATTAACAAAATAGGTCCTTTTCACATAAAATACCATCCGAGAAAACTGGCAAATTAGGAATTGGGTCATTTACCGCGGTCGGGGGCTGCCATTCATCGCATTCATGCGCCCGGTCGGAGGTTTCAACAATATACGTAATTTGACGTGCCACGCGTATTGGAAGTCGATGATTCGCCGATTGAAGGTGTCGTAAGACCTCTCTCGGTCTAATAGCGTGCTCGCATGTCTTACACACGAAGACTGGGTACGTCGAAGGTTGGTAAAAAAATTGGGTTGCCATAATTGATGGTGTAGAGATATATAATGACTATAGGTAATATAAGATAAAACTGAGGAAAAAGTGAGACTTGATCTCTAGTAAAATAGGCTAGAAAGGAAGTTAGATTGAATTCAATAAGTGCTAAAACCCCTCTTTTAATGATCGAGCCCCCGTGACTATTATTACCAAGCATTATTTGAGGTGTTTTCATACATCTACAGTGTTATAGTAGCGTCTTTGGTAGTAAAGGTACGCCGTAAAGGTACAAAATGCCGTACCCCAACAAAACATCTCCGATTTTCAATCGGCTATTTCTCGACAACTATTAGACTGTGCATGCTCCGACGTGAATCGGAGATAAATCAGGTGGTCTATTATAACTGACCAAATTTCAGACCGATTGTAGGTCATTAGACCTTAGGAGTCAGGGTGGCCCCACTTTTTATGTCCCATAGTGAAGGTCAGGCCCTAACCTCGAGTCAGCCCTGACTCCAGCACCCCCCGTGGGATAGCGTCTTTGGTAGTAAACGTACGCCGTAAAGGTACAAAATCCCGTACCCCAACAAAACATCTCTAATTTTTAATCGCCATTTTCTCGAAAGCTAGGAGGCTGCGTATGCTCCGAAGTGAATCGGAGATAAATTAGATGGTCTATTATAACTGACCAAAATTTGAGAGCGATCGGAGGTCATTAGACCTCTCCAGTCTAACGAGGAAATTAATTCCCAGTCTAACGGGACCCACTTTTTATGTCCCATAGTGAAGCGGCAACCCTAATTCCCAGTCTAATAGACTGGGCCACCCCCCGTGGGATAGGGCCAGCTCCGGCACCTTCTCAGCCGCGTACGAGGGCAAAAACGAAGTGTAGTGTATGTGGAATTCAGGGTCATAGAATGACTACATGTCCTAATAGACCTCGAGTTTAGCTTATTGAATTTAATGGCGTTTTGGTTGAGATAAATGCATTTAAAATGAATAGACCGGTGTAGGTGGCCCACTCGGTAGGGGTGGCCCACTCGGTAGGGAAATACGTTACGCATTAGAAGTCGATAATTAGGTAATTAAAGGTGTCGTAAGACCTCTCTCGGTCTAACAACGTGCTCGCATTTCTTACACACGAAGACTAGGTCTATCGAAGGTAGGTAAAAAAATTGGGCTGCCATGGTTGACTAGTACAATATATATATCGTAATATAATAAATTGCATGAAATTTGACGAATATTGAATACTAGCTTTGGGGTGAAATAGTCTAGAAACAAAGTGAGATAATAGCTAGGGAGCGTCTAAACCCCTGAATTAATTGCTACCCCTCCTAATCATTATAGGCTAGTATTATCGAGGTTGTTCTATTCGTCTACAGTGCTGCGGCGGCGTCTTTGGTAGTACACGTACGCCGTAAAGGTACAAAATCGCGTACCCTAACAAAACATCTCTAATTTTTAATCGCCATTTTCACTATAATTACTAGGCTGTGCATACTCCGAAGGAAATAGGAGATAAATTAGATGGTCTATTATAACTAACCAAAATTTGAGAGCAATCGGAGGCCTCTAGACCTCAGGAGTCTAACGAGGAAAAGAACCTAGAGTCTAACGGGCCCCACTTTTTATGTCCCATAGTGAAGGGAAAGCCCTAACCTGGAGTCTAGTAGACTCCAGCACCCCCCGTGGGATAGGGTATTGACCACGGTTAGCGGCTGCCATACGTCGTATTTATGCGCCCGGTCGGAGGTTTAAACAATATACGCAATTTGACGCGCCGTACGTAGTGGAAGTCGATGATTTACCGACTAGAGGTGTCGTAAGACCTCTCTCGGTCTAATAACGTGCTCGTATGTCTTACACACGAAGACTAGGTCTGTCGAAGGTTAGTGAAAAAATTGGGATGCCATAGTTGACTACTACGATATATATATCGTGATATAATGAATTGTGTGAAATTTGACGAATGTCTAATACTGACTTCGGGGTGAAATAGTGTAAAAAAAACGTGAGATGATAGCTAGCGAGCGTCTTAACCCCTAAATTAATTGCTACCCCTCCTAATCATTTTACACTAGCATTATTAAAGTAATTGGATTCGTCTACGGTCCTGTGGTGGCGTCTTTGGTAGTAAACGTACGCCGTAAAGGTACAAAATCCCGTACCCCAACAAAACATCTCTAATTTTTAATCGCTATTTTCTCAGTAACTATAAGGCTGTGCACGCTCCGAAGCGAATCGGAGATAGATTAGATAGTCTATTATAACTGACCAAAATTTGAGAGCGATCGGAGGTCATTAGACCTCTCCAGTCTAACGAGGAAATTAATTCCCAGTCTAACGGGACCCACTTTTTATGTCCCATAGTGAAGCGGGAACCCTAATTCCCAGTCTAATAGACTGGGCCACCCCCCGTGGGATAGAGTGCTAGGACATCATTAGACCTCAGTAGTCTGGCGAGGAAAAGAACCTGTAGTCAGGGTGGCCCCACTTTTAAAGTACCATAGTTAAGAGCCAAGCCCTAACCTGTAGTCTGGCAGACTACAGCACCCCCCGTGGGATAGGGGACCCGAAAAAGTGGAGTGGGAAGATACTTTTGAACGGGTATGTAGGTGGTTCATTCCTAGAGTCCCAGTTATGAAGTGGTTTCATATACTCCCAGGTCACGTTTTTATATCTGATTCTCCACTTGCTGCCTATAGATCATCAAGTTTATATTTCAAAACTGAATATAAGTTGTTCAATAATATTGCTATCAAATTGTGGAATTCGAAGATCCAAAGTTTATATGAGTAGTTTACGACCTTCCAGCGTGCAATTGAGAAGTTCTGTATCTTGTATGACGATATCAATTTCGAGGGATCAGCCTTATTCTACTGCTGAGGGCTTCTGCAAAATATTATCATGACCTGTACATTATTGCCCTGAAGGACTGGTCCACACCATTTTTGGATTACAATTAGATAGCAATCTCCAATAAAACACTCATTTGGTTGACCTAAAGAACAGTTCCCTACACCACATATATCTCCTCTCTCAACAATCAACAACCTCGAGAAAACTGGCTTCAGTATGGATAGGACACAAGATAGAGACTTCATCGAATGGAGTTGACAGGTCACAAGATCTCAAGAGCCAATGGAACTCGGGTGGCAGCCTAAGTCACGTAGCGAAATCCGGCAGCAATCTGAGCGGCAGTTGGACCACTCTGGCCCACATTTAGACCACGGTCAAGCTTGTTGTTCTGGAGCCGCAGGTAGATGCGCGTAGCAGTTGCCAAGACAATAGCCAATACGGAGGCGGCAAGATTAACCAAGAAGGCGGTAAGGTATCGCGGCGGAGAATAGTAGAGATAGGAGGCCCAAACTGTAAATGACTCGTCAGCGAAACAACCCGCTGCCGCCGAAGTGCTTCGGACATACTATTTGGGGTGTTGCAGACGGCATTAATCATGGCAATGGCCGAGGCACGCTTGATTGACGGTTGTGATAGTGTACCGGCCACCCAGGACAGGACGACGATGGCCGCAGAATAGAAGGATCCCGGCATCAGCATCATGGCAACGTCTATATTCGAGTCAGGGTGGGCTTCTTTTCCGTGAAGACGATGTTCATCGAGTGTTCAACTTACAGCGTGCTGCCGTGTTCAGCGTGGAGATAGCAATGATGTTAGCCACGAGACAGATTACCATTGGATAGATGATGTGAAAGCAACGCTCTTGTTTCTGATGCGTTTTTAGCAGGTTTGGGATAAAGGTGTGGTAGGATGTCGTACCTTGTCGGAGTGGAATCCATTGAGGATCATTGCAATCACACAAAGAACGTAAGGTGGCTGTACAACCAGCGTCAGTAAAGCATACAAGTTAGATATGCAGAGAAGAGGACTGACCGCGGTGAGGCCGTAGGTCTTGTTTCGAGAGTACCCGAGGGTGGCTACTACCGAAGGGAAGAAGTTCGATACGGCTCCCGCAATATAGATCTGTAAGGATGCTCAGTCGCTGGTGGAGAGAGAAGCAATATGGAAGGGCCACAAACACTGTACAGAATTCCCATGAGGAGCCATGTCTTGGGGTCCATCACAGCCATTATGACGCCTTTTTGGGCGCTGACCTCGTCGGCGTTGTCTCGCTGGCCTTGGTCTTCACTAAAGTTCCACAAGAGGCACTCGTGTTCGAGCTTGCTGAAGCCATGCATAGTTTTCAGTGAATTGGGGAGGATAAATGCAAGGAGCATCGCCAGGCCAACTGTGGCAACACCCTCGATCAAGAAGAGCTATAGATTGGCGTATTGAGTACCAGTCCTTGAAGTTTGGAGATCCGGATGGTCACTCACCCATCGCCAGCCTTCCAGGCCATGTTTGCCATCCAACTTCAGGATAGCGACAGCAAAGAGTCCACCAAAGGCGTTACCAAGCTGAGAACCGGAATACAGGATGGCCGTTCGCAGTGCGTACTGCTTTCGGGTGTAGAACAATGACATGTAGAACAGGGCACCAGGGAAGAACACGGCCTCGACAAATCCGAGGAAGAAACGGCAGGCTACAAGACCGGAGAAATTGTGCACAGCAGCCGTACAGGCTGAGAGAACACCCCACAGAGCCATCGAGAAACAGATGTACACACCCGGAAACTTGATTTTACCCACTACAAGGTTAGATGGTACCTGCATGAGAACTGAAATGTACACCATCAGCAGGGAGTCGACAGGGTTGAAATCTAGACTCCGAACGTACTGTACCCAACAAACAAGATGCTGACACAGGTCTGGTACTGCACATCCGTCATATTGAGATCCTGGTCGATGTTGGCTAATTTGGCCGCGGCGATGTTCTGCCTGTCCAGGTAGTTCATGATGTACATCAGAACCATGCAGGGCATGATCCGGGCATCTAGCTTCAACGTCGCTCGCTGTTGAACTTCGGCATATTCAACGGCCGACAGCATGGCCAGCGAGGCTGGTATCACTGGTGGCCGGCTAGCACCGTTCGATTGGCCCTGTTCATCAACAATATTCTCGATCTCCTTCGTATGGGTGCTTTTGCTATCAGTCATAGTGGATGGAAGATGCCAGATGTGGAATACGGCCAACGATTATGATGTTATGATGCATTTGCAAGACATTCGGGGACCGGGGTGGGGCTCCTTTTATGCAGCAACATCCCTTGTGGCCAAGAACAAAATCTAGGCCAGTATATTCTCTATCAAGATGATGACTGCAGTCGGAAAGGCGGGAAAGCTAGAACTATTGCGGGGGTGGCAAGGTTGGGGAAAGGTGGGGGAGGCGTGGGGGCACTCACTGTTAACTGCTGCTGACCCCCATGGTAAGCTCATGATGGTGGCGCACCCGAGATGGGCTGCAAAGAGGCCCGTTCCAAGCTTTCTGAGTAGTCAGAATGCGAAGTGATCCACGGCCGCCCTACACCGGTCGTAACCCCCACGCCTTGCCCTGGAATTAAATTCATTCCTAAAGGGCACGGGACAAGGACACGCGTGGGGGGATTGCCACCGATGATAGCTCCAATTCGTCTGGAGTAAAATCGAGTCAGAGCTGGGGCGTTGCTAACTTCATTCACTCCCACTCTGCTCTATCCTCATCACATATTTCTCGTCTGGGCTAGACACAGAAGACCAAAACAGTGACCGTCAAGCTTATCGTTATTGTGGAAGCGAAGATCGCAACTGTGCACTGTTTGAGATGGCGGGGAATGCTCTTGGGAGATATTTTTCACTGGAGGGAAGGACAGCAATGGTCACGGGAGGAACTCGCGGCATTGGTGCAGCGATCGCGGTTGGACTGGCTGAAGCGGGGGCGGACATAATACTCATTCAAGTAAGGCGATACTGGCCGTTCGGCTTTCGGGATGACTATTCCGATGCGACGCATACTAATGGTCGCAGAGGGATGAGAAAAGCATGGCGACTAAAGGAAGAATAGAGGAACTGGGAAGGAAGGCATGGACTTACACATGCGATCTGGCCTCAGACAACGAGGTCTCTGAGTTGACCGCGAGATTGATTCAGGCTGGACACGACATCAGCATTCTGGTCACTAGCGCTGGCATCCAGAGACGCCATCCTAGCCATTTGTTTCCGAAAAAGGACTGGGATGAGGTAAATTGCCGCCTTTGACCCTATCCAAGCGGCTCTCGTGCTGACCATGAGGTAGGTGCTTCAAGTCAACCTGTCCACCGTCTTCATGCTTTGCCGTGATGTCGGAGCGTACATGCTAACCCGCGAACCAAACGCTATGGGCCATCGCGGAAGCATCATCAATGTGGCCAGTCTGGTTTCCTTTCAGGGCGGATTGACTGTGCCTGCTTATGCCGCAGCAAAAGGTGGAGTGGCACAGCTCACTAAAGCACTCTCCAACGAATGGGCATCTAAGGGGGTCAATGTCAATGCCATTGCACCTGGCTACGTGGCCACGGACATGAACGAGGCCTTGATCCAGGATAAAGGTCGGGCTGCCAGCATATTGGCCAGAATTCCTGCGGGCCGGTGGGGTAGCCCAGATGATTTCAAAGGGGCGACGATTTTCCTTGCCAGCACAGCCAGTCTCTATGTATCGGGCGAAATACTCACGGTTGACGGTGGGTGGATGGGTCGATAGACTGTAGTAGCACAGACGGCAGCGAAAGGCATCAATACATGCATCTATTATACTCCGCATGGCGAGTTCAAGGAATTGTAGCCGTATGCGAAAGATCCACTAAATTCAAATAAAATAAAATAAATAACTTCCAATAATTACATTCAAAACGAATGGCGTCGCTAGTCCGTTGGCTCTCGGGCGGTTGGCGCTCCCGCTTTCAGTGCGCCTGTGAACCCCCACGCCCTGTCTAAGGTTCACAGAGGGTAATTGTGGCGAGGTCAGAGTCGCAATACTTAAGTTCTCAACTCCCCTGTAATAGTACGGCAAAGTCGACGTGGACGACGTAAAGCATTGGCAGGTATACGGTATTTAGAAACGCAATCATCTGGGCACAACTTCACAATGTCAACAACGACGGTGAAGGCATCCGTTCTCCACGGAATAAGAGACTTGCGAGTGGTAAGGTGGCCGACAGCTCCAAACAAGGCGGGCTCGCAATACACCAGCTGACAGTCGACCTCAGGAGTGGCGAGAGATTCCTCCCCCCGGACCGTCTGAATTGCAGGTCTCGGTGCGAAGCACCGGTATCTGTGGCTCAGACCAGCACTATTACAACCACTACCGCAATGGAGATATCCTGATTCGCGAGCCGATGTCACTCGGCCACGAGTCCTCGGGTATGGTTGAAGCCGTGGGATCGGACGTTCCCGAGGGCAGTTTCAAAGTGGGCGACCGTGTTGCACTAGAAGTTGGCCTCGCATGTGGAACCTGCGAGCTCTGTACGGAGGGCCGGTATAACATCTGCCGTTCGATGAGTTTCCGCAGCTCAGCCAAGTCATTTCCACACTTCCAGGGAACCTTGCAGCAGCGAATCAACCATCCAGCACAGTGGTGTCATCGGTAAGCCAGTTTTATTGCCGTGTCCCGCCGGGGCCAGTTGACTTGGTATCACTGACCACAGTAGCTTACCTGAAAGCGTCTCCCTGACCGAGGGCGCTCTTCTCGAACCTCTCAGTGTTGCTATTCATGGGGTGCGCCGATCCCAACTCTCCGGGACAAAAACAGCACTGGTGCTCGGTGCTGGGGCTGTGGGGCTGTTGACGTCCGCAATGCTGCGGGTCGAAGGAGCCAGCAAGATCGTGATCGCAGACATAGATCCGCAACGCGTCGATTTTGCCACTCAGAACGAGTTCGCTGATGTTGGATTTGCGGTCCCTTTGAAGCAGGGTGCAACCATTGAAGCGAAACTGGCCATTGCGCAGGAAACGGCTAAGTTGGCTACGACCGCCGCCGGTCTGTGCGGTTTTGACGCCGTCTTCGAGTGCACCGGCGTCGAGACTTGTGTTCAAACTGCGATATATGTGCGTCTCACCTCATCTTCTGTCCAGGTTCTCATACCTATCCAGAAGGTCACTGACCTTGCTGTAAACAGGCCTCTCGCCCCGGAGGCAGAGTGATGCTCATCGGAATGGGAACACCGATCCAAACCTTACCCGTATCAGCAGCGGCATTACGCGAAGTTGACCTGATAGGCGTCTTTCGTTATGCTCATACATACCCCTATGGGATTTCCGTACTCGAAAACAAGAGGGAAATAACGGAGACGAAAGAGTCTGCTCGAAGCCTACCCGACCTTTCCAAGTTGGTGACACATCGTTTCGAGGGACTAGATTCCATATCCGACGCGTTCGAAATGGCAGGGAAGAGCGTGGATAATGAAGGAAATCTCGTGCTTAAGGTGTTTATTGAAATGTGAAGGGAATGTTTTCGTTCTGGTGGAGGGTATAAAATACTCTTCCATTCAGGGGTTATTCCAATCCCCAATCTCCAATAACACATTCATTTTGCTGGCCCTAAGAAAAGCTCCCTATATATATCTCCTCTCCCTCAACAAACTCAGGGATATAGTGTGTTGAATACGAATGAGTGATTAAATGTATATTTCAAAGAAGATAATGGTAGCTCTGAAAGGGGAGATACGGCCCAACCAGAAGCTACATCTAGCTTAAATGTATAGTGACTTCTTAAGTGACTTCTTCCACGACCATACAAAGCTAGAGACGATGGGACTTGAAGAATACCACTTTTCATTAACGACTGAGAAGAGATCGTACTTTAGTTCACAAAGCTCCACATATCCCTGCCAATAATTCATAGAGTCCAAACGCTCCAGGATCCGGGCATGTCCGCCAATCTGTGCCACCGACATAGACCGAACGGCCGAGTTGAGCTTCCATCCCCTTAGTCGACTCGTACCCTTTCCTGCACGCTATAATAGCTTGCTCGACATCTTTGCTTGCAGCCAGCGCCTCGACAAAAGGCTGCAGAGCATCCACGAGCGTACGGTCGCCGGGCTTCGCTGGGGTGTAGTTCCCCAAGGCTTGGAGGGCACTTTGTAAGGCCGTAGCCCATGTGTGTACGTCTACCTTGCCCGTGATATGATGAGCGTCTTCTCGGAGACTATTGGTCAGACTGTTGAGGAAGATGGAATAGATCGCGCCAGATGTGCCGTCCATATGGGTTTCAACCACGTGTGCGAGATCCGTCACGAATAACGCGGCATCATCGGAGAGTTGGCCTTGGTTAAGATGCTGGAGTACCGCTTTCTGGCTGTTAGCAAAATCTATCGCTAAGACTGATAGCCGCCGGCATACCTTCTGCACCCGTCTTCAGACACAAGCCGCAGTCACCATCGCCAACCAAAGTGTCGTATCTCGTCACCTCCGGTTCCGCGGCAATGAGCCGATTCAGGCCGGCACGAAGGATTTGCACCGCGCGTTTGATATCCACTGTTCATGGTCAGCCAGCTCATCGAAAATGACCTTGAATGCGCCCTACATCTCAAATCACTCGTTTTTGTGTCTCCCATAATCTCCTTTGGTTGGCCTTCCTCTATCTCATACTTCGCCTCCCAGGTGTCAGGTTGAATGACAGGGCCCCAACCGTTTGCCTCCACCGGGGCGTCCACGAGGTCTAGCATAGACTTTCCCGGGCCAAGACCAGTGTCGCATAGCTTCAGAAGCGAGATACTGAATCCCATGCCATTTAGACTGGACATGTATGTGCCCGATAGCACCCGTTTGACGTTGAGATTGAAACGACCTTGCAACTGCAGGCATACTTCGTTGGTGATGCCGCCCAGTTCCAAAACACTCAATCCACCAAGATTGTTGATCAGGAGCACAATGGGGTCAGATGGTTGAATATCGATGAAGGCGCGCTCTTGATCAGTGGTATCCAGTAGCTGAACCAACATGGTTTCAATGAGATCGGGCAAGGAAGTCTTCACACGGCCGAAGCCCTCCTCGTTGTGGATTCCCATGCCAATCTCCACGTCGTCACTGGTATTCATTTCATCTGGAACGACCACTCTCCCGGGAATGTGGACATGGGCCAGAGAGGCTCCTACGGTCGCAACATTCTCGGCAGCCAGTGACGCAGTTTTGTAGACCTCTTCGAAAGAAGCGCTGCGCCTTGTTCAGCGGAGTGTGCTTTGATCAAAACGGGGAAATGAAGGGATGGCATCCGTACCCAGCTGCGGCTGCAGCACCTGCAACTTTCTGGACCAGCAGCGTCCCGGCCAGGCCTCGCCGTCCGATGCGGCCTGCCTTGGACCGGCCAACTCCGACATCGTCGCAGACCACCAGGAGTTCTGTACGGACCCCGTTGGCTCGAGCCTTCTCCACCGCCATACCAAAGTGCAGCTTGTCGCCAGTGTAATTCATGATAATGATCAGAATGCCCTGGTCCCGGTTGACCCTCTGCATCAGGCATCGGTAAACCTGGTCTGCTGAGGGACTGGCAAAGATCGATCCGACCACAGCTGCACTCAGGAATCCGTGGCCTACCATCCCTACGAACGAAGGCTCATGGCCGCTTCCTGCGCGGTAGTCCGGGTGAGTATCTCCACTTCACAATACGGCAATGGGACAAACCTCCACCTGCGATGACAGACACATGTGAGTTCCGCCGCTTCTTCAGATAGATTGTTTTACCCTCCACGTCTGCCGCGACGGAAGGATTACATCTAGCCACTGACTGGAGGCACGATGCCAGCAGCTGCGTGGGGTCATTGAAGAAGTGCTTTGCTGGAGAGAGCTATGGTTAGAATAATTCTCCAGTTGTACGTGCGGTTGTACGTACAGGACATTGTTGCATTGGAGGGTGGTTGGGAAAGAAGAGAAGAGCTTCCACGGTAGTTGTCAATGCGGGGCGTAGACTCTGTATTGATTTCCTCTACGAGTTTAATATCTCAGAACAGGGGCTCAAAAGATACATGTATGCCGTTCTTTCGACTCCACGCGATCTCGGCACCAGTGTGGAGCATTACTTACTTTGAACTTCCAGTTCTGTGTTGTTTATCCATCAATTAAGTCAGCTATAAGCACCTGGATGCACAATCAAACCTAATTAGCTCCCTTCAGCGCAATCTAGACCAAAGCCAAGGGATTCATGCTATCTACCACGATATAGAGCACCCCAAACTTTCCAACCCCACGCAACCCACGCAAGTACAAAGAACAGCTGCGCCCCCACGCAGCCGGATCATGACCGAGGAAGCTCGCTATCGTTCGGGATCGTCGGGAGATGTCCATACTCCGCAATTGTCCTCTGTGCATGGTCCAAGCTGGGTCCGTCACAAGTCGTAGGGCTCTCGAGCGTGGGGGGTCTCAACCAACATCATTTTGGTAGCGAAGTGGGGGTCTGGAACTATTCCAAGGATCTCAGATGCATGATACAAGGTAATTTTTAGCACGTGGAGAGGCAACGAATGGGTGTGGGTGTGGGTAAAAAAAGGGAAGGTAAAGACGCTGAATATTCCCCAGTCTGGAGCCTCCGCGAACTTTTAAAGTTTTTGTGAGCGGGGGAAGGGGATATCTAAAAGTGTCCAAACCTTACAAGACTGCACGTTTCATATTTCTTAGCGGCGGTAAGGTTGGGGAAGACACCGCGGTCAAGGCCCTATACAACTGAAGAAAGAATGGCTCCTTGCGTGATTAAGGAGACGATATATTTGATCACGGATGCTCTTAGGATATCATGGCTCACAAGCTAAATTCTCCAACCATTCATCATGTTAGCATCCCATTGGGAAAAATGGACAAGCTACTAACTTTCCGTCGGAGCCCCGAAGACATGATGACATACGAAGTGCTTGGCAAGCTCGTTGATAGCAGATTACGTCATCGGTGGCCTGCTGTAGCTCCGAACCCAAACGCGATCTAGCCGAGTCGGGATATGCTGTTTAGTTGAGTGGTCTAGAGTCCGGAAGTGGAGGCCAACTATGGAGGTCCGCTCGACTTCCTTCCACCCTTCATCTCTGCCGGAGTGGGTGGAGGAGGAAGGTGGCCCCACGCCGAATCATCCGTGTCCTGGGGCATGCACTAAGATAGATGAAACTTTTGAGACACAATCTACGAACCCCTCCTGTTAAATGCCGCAAATACGAAGCGGCTATCGGTTTGGCCGCCAGCGAACCTTCTCATCTCGGCTATCTCTCCGGCTTTATGAAGCACCGGATGAGCTGATAGAAAAGTCGTGGGGGACTTCAGCGGTGCTTTTCTTAACTTCTTCTCACAGATACGCATTCCTTCAATCAACCCGTTTTTTGAGATAAACACTAGTTAGGTCAGCCCTAACACAACATGACTGCATCAAACGGAACCAGTGATCACCAGAACAAGACTACCAAGTCTCTGAAGCCGGGTATCTACGTACTGAAATGGGGACGGCACGTTGGCAGTCTGACATAGCAGACGGGTCGATATCAATGGAGACAGCACAACCAACCACTCCTATGCCCAGTACAGTCGTAGAGAACAGTCTCTGTACGTGGCTATCGCACTAGTATTGAAGCTATATCATGAATGAAGATTCTGGTGGAAAACTGTAGTCATATTGATGAAGGTAGAATGATGCTATCCCTAGAAGGAGAGACTGCATGCATGCTTCCTGAGGCATTTGCCATACCTCAGGCCACTAATACGCTACTGTCACGGGTTCCACCACTACAGTACCTACGGTAGCTTTCTTCGATGCAAATGATGCTATTGACGTCTAAACAACGGCAAACCACCCGACTAGCAACAGCGGGAGTCTCAGGAATTGTCACCCACGGGAGCAATGGAGAAGCTGTGCATTTGAGCCATGCAGATTGGATGCTAGTTAACTAGGTCACGCGCGAAGCACTCGACTCAGCGAGATATCGTGATAGGCCTTTGATTGTCGGGTGCGGCTCACAGTCCACACAAGAAACCATCCAGTTTTGCCGGGAAGTTGCCCAGACAGGAGGAAGTTACGCGCTGGTTCTCCCACCCGCGTAATACGGATCCCTGCTATCGACCAACCACGTCATGCAGCACTTCCAGGACGTCGCCGATGCGTCTCCAACTTCCCTGCTGATTTACAATTTTCCCAGTGCCTGTAGTGCCCTTGACCTTGACTCAGATGTGATTCTAGCTCTTGCAGAGCATCCGAATATTGTGGGCGTTAAGTATCTCCCCGTGCTTGTGTCACACTTATGGGCCTCTATGAACAGGGTAAAATGGAGGATGCAAGGAAACTTCAGGCAATACTTGCAAGAGGCGATTGGGCTGCTATCAGAGGAGGCTTTATTGCAGTCAAGAGCGCGTTGAATTTGTTTTATGGTTACGGTGGATTACCGCGAAAGCCTTGCAAAGCCCCTGAGAGGAAGAAGCTGGCCGAAATTCAAGCAAGCTTTGAGGAGTTGGTTGAATTCGAAAAGAAGCTTGAACAAACGGCTCTTTAGTCTTTGTTCGCCTTGTTTTCTAATAATACGCTGCGAAATGATTCGTGTTCTACATAGTATCAACGATTATTCTTTTATACATTTTCCAAGCACACCCAAGCTCTTTTATTCTTATCTTGGACTACTAACTTAAATGAACTTCTTATTATTGATATGGCAGGGCCAACGACCAAGATATGCTCATAAAACCCACTTGGAACGTCCCATGTGATCTATGGGCACAGTGTACGTAATTGAATCGGAACTGAGACGCAAGATGTCCACAACCTCAGACTTTTCTGGGACGTCCACGCTTCATCTGGAGGGGTACGCCACAATATTGGGCGTGGAAATAGGGATATGTGAGATTGGCTTCAAAGACCATTATTCGTGGAATTTCTCGTGGACAGGTGGAGCTTGAGGAAACTCTGATCTCAGCGCAGATTCTGAATGGCGATGGTGCGGCAAGATCATGAGATGGATGAATCTGGGGCATGGGGTAGCTGGAAGTTGCCACATGGTAATATTTACCCACGCTATGGTCTCCGATCGGCTGTGGCCCTATGGGCCAGGCCGACGGCGTGGGGGTACCCTTCTCGGGTCACCCGTCTGATCCGGCTTATACGTTTCTGCTGCAGGGTGGACAACTGCCTGGACAATTGCTTATCCGCGCCATTTATTTTCTCGGCCTCTTTAAAACAGTCCGCTATAATTTTTGGAACTGCGGGTTTTTCTCCCCTGAGATTGTGACAATAACGCGCTACCTTTTTCTTTGGTGGTTTCTCTTCCATTTTCTTACGTCCTCAAAATGGCTAAAATTAAGAGTCTTGAATATTTCCGCGTCAAGCCTCGATGGCTGATGGTCAAGATCTGCGACGACACGGGAGAGTATGGCTGGGGCGAAGCTACTCTAGAAGGACATGACCTCGCTGTTGAGGGGGCATTGGATGAGATGATCGTTCGGTTGATTGGACTAGAAGCAAAGTGAGACATTAAGGCTGCTACTCTTTTTACTTGCTTAGACTGACCGGAACAGCAACATTGAACATATTTGGCAGATGTTTTGGAGACATGGTTTTTACCGTGGAGGTCCTGTCTTCATGTCTGCCCTGTCCGGCATTGATATTGCCTTGTGGGATTTGAAAGGTATGCTTGATCTTGCTTAATAACATATTTCACGGCTAACTCCACGACCAGGTCGTACGCTGAAGGTTCCTGTATATGAACTGCTGGGCGGCCAAGTCAGGAATAAAGTCCAAGTTTATGCCTGGATAGGCGGAGATAGACCATCTGACGTTGAAGTAGCGGCGTAAGTGACATATCAAGCAAAAGTTTTAGTGGGACCTAGCTAACACCTGCTCAGCAAGGCTCGTATCGCGCAGGGTTTGAAATGTGTCAAGATGAACGCGACAGAAGATGTGAACTGGGTCGACTCGCCCAAGGTTCTCGAGTCGACTGTGGAGCGTCTCCGCGCAGTCAAGACACTCGGTCTCGATGCTGGGCTGGATTTCCACGGCAGGCTGCACAAGGCGATGGCGAAACAACTGGCGAAAGCTCTAGAACCATATAAACCCCTCTTTATCGAGGAGCCGCTACTCTGTGAGCACCCCGAAGCCGTCAGGCAGCTGTCAAGCCAGACCACTATTCCGATCGCTTTTGGAGAGCGGTTGTATTCCCGCTGGGACGTGAAGCGCTTCCTAGAAGATGGTTCAGTCGATATCCTGCAGCCAGACATTGCCCACGCAGGGGGGATTTCCGAAACCAAACGCATTGCCAATCTGGCTGAAGCGTACGACGTTGCGATTGCGCCGCATTGCCCCCTTGGCCCCGTCGCATTTGCCGCGTCATTGCACATTGCTCTTTCCACTTCAAATTTTGCTATTTTGGAAATGAGCTTGGGCATGCATTATAACGTGGAGGCTGGCAATATCGACTTGCTCACCTACTTGAAAGACCAGAGCGTCTTCGATATCGCAGATGGATATGTCAAAGCACCTACTGGGGTGGGGCTCGGCATTGAGATTAACGAAGATATGATTAGAAAGGTTGCTAAGGAGACCGATCCTTGGCAATGCAAGGAGTTCTACGGGCCTGATGGATCTATTAGGGAATGGTAGAGACCGTCGTACTGAGGTTGGGGCATGAGGGGTACTCTTCACTCTCTTTCGACTCTGTTTTGAACGGTATTTATATTTAATTTATAGATAGACACAGCGGGAGGCATTGGAATGTAATGTCCTACGCATTATATCTGGTCCCCTTCGTGTGTAAGACATGCTAGCACGTTGTTCGACCGAAGGAGGTCTATCCCACGGGGGTGGTGCAGTCTACTAGATTGCAGGTTAGGGCTTTTTCTTAACTATGGTACCTTTAGTGGCCTACACGTTAGACTGCAGGTTCTTTTCCTCGTTAGTCTGCAGAGGTCTAGTTAGCTCCGATCGGCCTATCCTACGGGGGGTGCTTAACTCTATCCCACGGGGGTGGGTGAACTCTGCCAGAGTTCAGGTCTTGGCATGCCCTTAACTATGGGACAAAAAAGTACATAACGATACGCACACGCCTGGGTTCAGGTTCCTTTCCTCGCCAGGGTCCTGAGGTCTAGTTAGCTCCGATTGGTCCAAAACTCTTATAGGTTATAGACGTATATATGAGGTATCTCCTATTTACTTCGGAGCTTGCACGGCCTCTGTAACGGAGTCCTCAGGAATCATGTATAGGTCTCTTGCATGGATCTCTCGTACCCCTCAAGGATCGCCAGCAACACGTCAGCGTTGGCTCACCGTAACGCTGATCCTCCATGTTAAATAGTCTAGTATAGGAGAACCTAGAGGTTCTCTAAGAATCAGTCTCTGTATTCCTCTAATATACTACTTACTTCCTAGGTATCTTCGTCTTACCTAGTTGATAGGCTCTATCCTATAAATACTAGACCCCTCTTCTTTACAATTCTAATTCTTCTTCTTTAACTACCTAAGATTAAAGATACCTCCTAAAGCAACAATAACTACCCGATCGTCGGTCGCTCGTAGATCACTAGCGAACCTATATCGAACCGACACTAAGTCTATTATTCCTCCCGCCACTATCTACGATAGAAGTAGCAGCCCGGAAAATAATTCTTAGGGCCGGACTCCCTAGTTTAGCGAGCACCTCGCTAAGGTCGAACGCCTTAAGACCCTTTATACGTTACTTACCTAAAAGAAGGAACTTAAGGAAGCGATCGGCTAAATAACTAAGAAATCGACGTCGGATCGCTATCGACGTTCTTCCTCTACGTTATCTAAATAAGGACGAGCTCCTAGAGAAATCAAAGTCGAGGTTCCGATCTTCAAAGTACACTATAATATATAGTAACGCCAAACCTAGCTTAATAACCTCTAGGATATATTCCTAGGTACACCCTATAAGTATAGATCGGATAAAAGAAAGATCCTTAGTACCACTAACCGTATAAGCTCTAACTACCGCGAGAGATAGCGATACTATATCGAAGAGAAAGCGGAACCCTAGCGAACCGCTTATAAAATAATATAGGAACTATTCGAGAAATAGACACTTACGCTACTACACAATTCGGCCACACTATAAGCTAATATTGCTACCTCCTTATAAGAGGCCTATTAAGGCCTAAACTAAAGTCCGAGTAACTTTAACTCTTATCTTATCTCGCTTAAAAGGTATTTTAAAGCACCGTTAGAGGACTAACGGGCGCTTAACTTCTTTACTAAATTATAGCTTCGCCTCTAATCGCGTATCTAGAATGCTATACTTTATTTGCCTAAAAATCGGGATAAGATAGTATCGATAGCGATACACTATTAGAACCTTATTTAAATAGAATTGGGAATAAAGAACTACCCGCCCCGCTTAATAAATAAGAGATATCACTCCCCTAACTAATAGGGATATCGAAAATAGACTAGCTTTAATAGGCTATCCTCTAACTCTAGTTAGGGCTAAGGATAGAACCATAGAAGCTTCTAAGGATAAGGTAGTGATCGAAACCTAAATACTAAACTATATTTAAACTAGCGTAAATTTAGCGTAAAGCTATATAATCGCTAGCGAAACGATAATATAACTCTATAAAAACTAAATAGCTATTTTACTTATAGGTTAATAGACCACTAGAGAGACGAGTGCCCTTAAAATCTAACTAAGGTCTAGTTAGCACTAGCACACTTAGGAAAAGCTAGAGGGTCGGTGTAGGAGCCGGAACACCGACCCTTTAAGATAAAATTAGGACCGTAAGCCGCCTATATATCCTAATTACCGTATAGGGCGATATCGAAACGTATATAGACCTTAATAGCGGAGCTAAGGTTAATATCGTTAGCTATTAATTTACTTAGCGACACGGACTCTATCGTGCACCACTTACGAGCGTTATTATCTCGGCTATTAATTAAAGGTTAACACCTACTTATAGGGTATAGATAGTCCCTATTATAGCGATAGACTTATAGGGAACTACCTATATCTTCGAAAGACGCTACCTAGCTATCGATCGAGACCCTCGTCTTAATAGAAGCCTAGTTCTCCTCTCTATAATAACGGTCTATAATAAATACGTCGACTTTTCGCTATATAAACACTAGTGGTGGTACGTCGCACTATTATACTTAATAGCCACCCTATATTAATTCGTGAAAGAATACCAGAACCACGCGTACGTATATATAGTGATAAAGCTTCCTAAGGAAGTGTGGCTTCTAGGAGACAATTAAGAATACCCCGTCTTACGTAAGGAGGTGTAACGGAGTCCTCAGGAAGCATGCACAGATCTCTCGCACTGCCAGAGGATCAACATCATACAGGTGTCGACACGTCAGCGTTTCCTCACCGTAACGCTAATCCCCCATATTAAATAGTGCACTCTAGGAGAACCTAGAGGTTCTCTAAGAATCAGTCTCTATATTCCTCTAATATACTACTTACTTCCTAGGCATCTTCGTCTTACCTAGTTAATAGGCTCTATCCTATAAATACTAGACCCCTCTTCTTTACAATTCTAATTCTTCTTCTTTAACTACCTAAGATTGAAGATACCTTCTAAAGTAACAATAATTACCCGATCGTCGGTCGCTCGTAGATCACTAGCGAACCTATATCGAACCGACACCGAGTCTATTATTCCTCCCGCCACTATCTACGATAGAAGTAGCAGCCCGGAAAACAATCCTTAAGGCCGGACTCCCTAGTTTAGCGAGCACCTCGCTAAGGTCGAACGCCTTAAGACCCTTTATACGTTACTTACCCGAAAGAAGGAACTTAAGGAAGCGATCGGCCAAATAACTAAGAAATCGACGTTAGATCGCTATCGATGTTCTTCCTCTACGTTATCTAAACGAGGACGAGCTCCTAGAGAAATCAAAGTTGAGGTTCCGATCTTTAAAGTACACTATAATATATAGTAACGCTAAACCTAGCTTAACGACCTCTAGGATATATTCCTAGATACACCCCATAAGTATAGATCGGATAAAAGAAAGATCCTTAGTGCCACTAACCGTATAAGCTCTAACTACCGCGAGAGATAGCGACACTATATCGAAGAGAAAGCGGAACCCTAGCGAACCGCTTATAAAATGATATAGGAACTATTCGAGAAATAGACACTTACGCTACTACACAATTCGGCCACACTATAAGCCGATATTACTACCTCCTTATAAGAGGCCTATTAAGGCCCGAACCAAAGTCTAAGTAACTTTAACTCTTATCTTATCTCGCTTAAAAGGTATTTTAAAGCACCGTCGGAGGACTAACGGGCGCTTAACTTCTTTACTAAATTATAGCTTCGCCTCTAATCGCGTATCTAGAATGCTATACTTTATTTACCTAAAAATCGGGATAAGATAGTATCGATAGCGATACACTATTAGAACCTTATTTAAATAGAATTAGGAATAAAGAACTACCCACCCCGCTTAACAAATAAAAGATATCACTCTCCTAACTAATAGGGATATCGAAAACGGACTAGCTTTAATAGGCTACCCTCTAACTCTAGTCGGGGCTAAGGATAGAATCGTAGAAGCTTCTAAGGACGAGGTAGTGATCGAAACCTAAATACCAAACTATATTTAAACTAGCGTGAATTCGGCGTAAAGCCGTATAATCGCTAGCGAAACGATAATATAACTCCACCTAAACTATATAGCTATTTTACCTACGGGTTAATAGACTACTAGAGGGACGAGTGCCCCTAAAATTCGATTAAGATCTAATTAATACTAGCACACTTAGGAAAAGCTAGAGGGTCGGTATAGAAGCCGGAACACTGACCCCTTAAGATAAGATTAGGACTATAAGCCGTCTATATATCCTAATTACCGTCCGGGGCGATATCGAAACGTATACGGACCTTAATAGCGGAGCCGAGGTTGATATCGTTAGTTATTAATTTACTTAGCAATACGGACTCCGTCGTGCACCACTCACCGGCGTTATTATTTTAGCTATCAATCGACGGTTAACACCTACTTATAGAGTGTGGATAGTCCCTATCACGGTAACGGACTCACGAGGGACTACTCGCACTTTCGAAAGGCGTTACCTAGCTATCGATCAAGACCCTCGCCTCGAAGGAAGCCTAGTTCTCCTCTCTATAATAACGGTGCGTGATAAACACGTCGACTTTTCGCTATATAAACGCTAGTGGTGGTACGTCGCGCCGTTATACTCGATAGCCACCCCACACCAATTTATAAAAGAATGCTAGAACCACGCGTACGTATATATAGTAGTGAAGCTTCCTAAGGAAGTGTGGCTTCCCGGAGATAACTAAGAGGACCCCGCTTTACGTAATAGGCTGCCTAGCGAATTCCTAGTATACCGCGACGTATTCGCTCCTAAGAATACCAAGACTCTACCACCTTAGAAAGCAATAGATTATACTATCGAGCTAAAAGATAGTGAAACGCCGCCGTATAGCCCAATTTACCCTCTTTCTTAGACAGAGCTTTAAGAGCTTCAGTCCTACCTAGATAAAAACCTTAACAATAGTCGGATCCGACCCTCAAAAAGCCTAGTAGGGGCCCCTATCCTATTTATTCTAAAGAAGGATAGTAGTCTACGTCTCTATATAGACTATCGGGGACTAAATAAGGTCTTA